ACGATGGAGCAGATCAAAAAGGAGCTCATGCCTGCCAGAGGGAAGTCTGCACCATGGCAACACATGTTCCTCCACAAACAGCCAGGACTAAGGCGCTCTGTTGCGACCGGTCTGAACAGTGCCCCCAAGAAACGAGAGCTGGAGGGTTGAGACATCAGAGGGAGCGAGAGAAAAGTGGCCCCTACTTAGCTTGCAGCCGTTCCCTCCTCCACACAGCTGACACGGCAGCACAAGACTCGCCCATGTTCTAATACGATGGATGTCGAGGAGAAAACAGATGCTGTCCATTGAGCGCCTCCCTGGGGAAAGTGGGGCTCAACACAGAGCGATCACCCCCTTTGGAGAGCAGCCAGCCAGCACTGAGGAACCTGGGGAGAGGTCTCATGGCAAAACATGTCACATCTGAAAGGAAATACAGCGGGGGAGCCCAAAGAGCCAGTCTGATGGTGAACAGGTCCTCAGAGACCCTACAAAGAAGCCAGGAACAGTGGTCCTCAGCGTGGTTCTTGAGACCACAGATTAAGTGTCTGTGCGCCAGGCACAGTGTGGGGCATTTCTACAGGGATCAGTCTTCACCCTGCAGTTAGGCTTAAAACTCACTAACTGATCAACGCCACCTTTCTGCGTACGACATTTTTGCCAAGGAAAGGAACAGGGATAACCAATGCACCCTTACACCCTACAGGATAGGGTTATGCGTGAGGCTTGACCAGGAGAAAAACCAGCTCCAAATTTCTGCTCTGTTGTCAGATCACTGAGCAATGCGTGCAGAATCCAACCACAGAACAAGGGAACCCAAGAGACTAAAGGACCCTTCTCGGTTTCCCCTGACTAATTTCTCTAGAACTGATGGACCACGTGAGATGCTGGAGAGGAAGATGCATAAAGTCAGGAACTGTAAAAGCTAGTAAAGGAATGTCTTTAAAACCACATTAGAAGTTAGTGGAAGAGAGACAACCTGCATCCACAGATGCACATTTGTGCCGTTTACACACCTCTTTGTATTAACACAATCTCAGCAGAACTGTTTTGTAACACTAATATTAAGAGTCAGGACCAGCAGCTTCATTTCAGGCTACAGGTATGTCCGGAAGGATGTGAACTGGTGCCACGGAACCCAAGTACTCACAGGTTGTGACGCACTGGGATCCCATTGTATAAGCTGCCAACACATCATCCTGACAAGTCAATCACGGAGCCAGGAACAGGGAAGAAGGTAATTCCTGGAGAAAAGGCAGCTCTACCATATCTGCCTCCGAAACAATTAAAAAGCAAAAACCAGCCACTACCCAAAAACTCCTCTAGGTCCTAAACCCTCAAGTCATCACAGACCAAAGAGAAACCAAACCTACAAATGGGCCCAGAATTGTAGAAGCATTTCCTTGCTGCAAGCCAGCAGAGCCTTCCACGAGCTTTAAAACAAACAAAAAAGTTTCTGTCTCGAAAGGACATTTTAGAGGTAACGTATAATTGCTCCTGTCGGTTCGATGCTCCCCCTTTTTCTCCTTCTCTGTTGGCTAATGAGAGTTTTCCTCTTCCCCTGCCCGTTTCAGTTTGAAACGTGGCACTGAATGGGACACTGGAGAGCGAAGAGAAAGTGGAGGGAGAAGGCTGCTTTCAAATCTGACACACATGCCCCAAACGGGCAACACACACATCGACTGGCCGCCCACACCCTGAAGGAAGGTCTGGCTGGGCTCCACCTAAGACAGGGCTGAAGGATAAACTGTGGAGGAGAAACTCCCCCTTGCACCACCTCTCCGGAAAGCAGAGTTAAGAAAGAGAAAGCTGGAAGGGAAGGAGGGGGAAAATAAAGCTCCACATTCCTGACATTTTTTAGCCAAGTGCTGTGGCCGCACAGAACAGCTCTATTCCAAACAGCCTGCGAGACGGAAAGAAAACCTGGGTCCAGGGAGAAGTATCTGGCCCCTGCCTTGGAAATGGGAGGAGGAACTTTAGGATGGCCCAAAACTAAACCAAAAGGAGGAGGGAGGGGCCCCCTTTCATGTGTGTTCCCAAAAGGAAGTGGTCCCAAGGGAAGGAATTTGGAGTCATCATCTCCCAGGGGACAGAACTGGAGTCCTGGGGTCCCTCAGGGGGAAACGAAAGCCCCTCTGAAGGCTGGCCAGCTGACGAGTGTGGCTTGAGGAAGGGGCACCAGTTAGGATGCAAGGGCTGTAGCTGCTTGGGGTGAGGGGAGAGGGCCCAATGAACAGGGCAGGGGACCCCGGACAGACAGACGGAGGAGTGGCCAGGAGAGTGGCTCTGTGTGGGAAGAATTCTAATGGAGCTTTCCTGACTCCCGCTTCTGAATGAAGGAATCCTAGCCCTGCCCAAGTTAGAAACCCAAGAGCCTGCCGGCCTCTCTCCTTGCCTCCCCCTTCCCTCTCCGCCTCCTTCTGTCCTCACTTCCAGGAAAAAGTGTGTTAAGTGCAGGACTGCCCCCCACATGCCTCCCTACACACACATACATACACACCACACCTCCAGGGAGAACCCAGAAGACCCCAAGTCATATCTAGTGAGTCCTGCGCTGGGTTAAGAAGCCCCTCCACCCCCAGCTTTCCTCCAACTGTGCAGGTGGCCACATGTGTTGCTCTGAGGTCTCCAGAAGTAACTGAGCTGTTTCTACTCTCATTCAGTAGGGAGGGCAGAACTCCAAAGGCCTGAGTTCCCACAAAATACCATCTCTGTGGAGGGTCAATTGGTGGGTACAGACCAGGAGGACCTACTATGTGCCTAACACAGCAGAACACGTGTCCTTCATCAGAGAGGTTTGGGCACGGCCCTCTTTCTCCCACACCAGCACACATCACACCGACAATCCCACAACACGCATCTTGGAGAGGAGACAACCTGGTAAGCACGGCCACTGCAGGTCTAAGGCTCTTCAGGAGGAGGGAGCCTGCCGGCCTTCCAGCCAGCTCCCCTCCACACTCCCACTCCAGTCCCAGGAGGGGGAAGAGGGCAGGCAGTCGTTTTGGTTGTTTTTTCTACCTTGGGTCTTTATCTTCTGTCAGGTCCTGGGAGGAAGGGCTCCACGCACCTTTCAACTCCCACCAAGCTCCAAGTATAACGCATCGGCCTTTCCAAAAGACTGGAGGAAGGGAGGGAGGGAGGGACCAAGCCCAAACACTAGGCAGCTCTTTCTGAGCAAAGATGAAGCAGGTACAGCCACAAACCTTAACAGATGCCAGAAGGGCAGCAGAGAGAGCCATAAGGCTGGGCAAGAGACTTCGCTGGCTGCGAGCGAGCGTGTGGCTGTGAGGTCTACAGCTGTCACGTGTGTCTTTCCAACCACACCCTCCAAGACTGGTGACACAGCACTGGGAGGCCTCTTAGAATGGAGGGCAGCAAACAGATACTGAGGGTGTTGGCTGGACAAAACTAACTCCTAGTTCGTTAAGCCTTTATGACGATCAATAATAACAAAGCAGGGGACAGTTTTCACATTTGTGGGATCTGTTGCGGCTTTTGTTGCTGACATGATCTCAGTTAAACCTTAGAATAACGCTGTGGGGAAGACAGGTTTTACTAAACTCTTTAATGATGGGGAAACTGAGGCTGCAGTCAGTTTTTGCGTCAGACTAGTGACAGAGCAGGGCCTGGGACACAGGGCCAATCCTACTGACAAAGCCCTTTCAAAGGCACCCTGAGAGCTGTCTGGCTTCCAAGAAGGAAGACGGAGTGAAGAAAAGGGGCGCGCACAAAAGGTGCAGCGCAGACCCCGCTGCCAGTCCCAGGTCTACCTCCTACAGACCCTGCAGCCCAGCCAAGGACACGTTTGCACATCCAACTGACTGGGCCCCTGCAAGAATGCTGCCAGTTTGAGGGCAGCTGCACCAGCCAAGGAGGACCCTTGTCATCCTTGAGAGGAGACAGAGGGACACAAGGAGGAGCAATTAGCCAGGCTAGGAATCCTCCATCCCCAAGCAGTTCATAAATGGTTACAGCTTCCTAAGCCATCCCTGAGAACGCAGATAAGCAGCCCAACCAGAGGGAGGACAAGGCGTTACCTCCCAGGGGACCAGCTGAGAGTGAGGGGAGTGTCACTCACCTATCTCACTTTTGAGATAAGATATACCACAGCAAGCCCCATACCCAGTTTCCTCCAGTTCTTCCCATTTTGCATATCACGTTTTCTCGCTGGTTCTCCACAGTAGGGACTCCTTTCCATCGGCCCCCTTGGATCATGACCCCCTGTTCTCTGAGGCCCACACCAGCGCTGCTGTCGGGGAGACCCCATCCTCTTCCTCCACCCCGAGGCGACGGGAGAATCACCTTTCCCCCCAAAGCAGAGGGTATCCATGTCCCTCTCCTTGCCGCTGTACCGGGGAGAGCTCTGCGTCCACCACAGACGCCTCTAAAGGGACAGTCCACACAGTGATAAAGGGGATATGAAAACCGGCCTTCTGGGCAAGAGCGGAAAAAAAGGGAGGCAGGAGGACGGCCGAAGAGCACAGCTGGGTCGGGCTGGGGCCACACGTGAACACCCAGCCCGGCCCAGAGTGGAGGATGCAAAAGGCCCAGACAACCGGGCGGGAGGTGGAAAAGGGTCGGGTTCCTTCCCACTGGAAAAGCCCAGAAGACCTGGCAGCCACCGCTTGGGAGGAGAGTTGTGCAATGACTGCGGGTCTGGGAGTCTCCGGGCTTGGCTCCCGGACACCAGAAAGGAAACCCCAGTCGTTGGGCCAGGGTGGCAGCGCTGCGGTTGGTTCGAGGCCAGGCTGAGGATTCAGGGCTGCAGAGAGAGCGAGCTGCAGCGGACGGCGGCTGCCCAAGGGGGCGGCAGAGCGGGACCCGGCTGGCAGGGCGCGGAGCGGGGGCAGTGTCGGGGCTGACGAGGAGGCCAAAGGGGGGAGAGTGCACAAAGCCGGGACTGCACCTAACGTCCGAGGCAGCCAGGCGGCCCGGCTCCGACGAGGCCCCCGGGGACCTGCAGGGGTGAGGCAGGCGGGCGGCGCGCGGGAGGGCGCACTCCCCTCCCCAGCCTCGCTCACCTCGAACATCAGCCCGATGAGGACGCAGAGCACCAGGCAGAAGCCGATGTCCGCATGGTTGTGGATGACGAACTCCTGGCTGAAGAGCGGGTAACTTTTCGTCCTCCTGCGGAAAGCCATGGCAGCGGGCGCGCAGCGGCCGGCCGGGCCCGCACCCTGCGCTCTCCAGCCGCCGCGCAAACTTCTCCAGCCCCGGCCCGGTCCGCCCGCGCCGGCCCGCCGCCACTCGCCCGCTCGCCCGCCCGCCGGCCCAGCGCCCAACAACTTCTGGGGCCCGCCCCCTTCCTCCGCCCGCCCCGCCCCCGGCCCGCCGCCCGGAACCGCCCCCGGCCGCAGCCCCCTCCCCGCGCCGCCCTCGGCGCGCCGGGCCCGCAAGCCCCGCCCCCGCGCGCTTAACCCTCGCGCCGCCGGGGCCGCGCGGGGGCGGGGCGCAGGGCGGGCGGGGCCGCGCGCGGCCGGGAGCCCCGAGCCCCGAGCCCCACGCCCCACCGCGTGCGCGCGCGCTGCGGCCGTGTCGCCTCCCGCGCCGAGGAAGCAGGCCGCGGGGCCGCCGCCCGGCCTGGCCCGGCCCGGACAGGAAGTGGGCCCGCGCTTCCACTCCTCGGCGTCCGCTCCTTCCTCTGCGGGAAGGAAGGGCCCGGGAGGCCGCGGCCGGCCGGGGCGGGGGTGGCCGGGCCGCCGGATCTTCCCGGGGCTTCGGGCGGTGGCCGGGGGGCCGGGAGCGGCGCAGGTTCGGGGGAGGGAGGGCGGCTGCAGGCGGCCTTGTCGCCGGCCACAGCGCCCTGCACGGCTGCGAAATGAATGGACGGCTCGCCGAGCATTGATGAGAGCTCCCATGGTTCGGATTGCTTGGCGTCTGCGGCAAACGAACAAAAAAGACCCTGCCCTGGGGGGGCCTGCGTTCCAAAGGGGGACTGGATGCGGGGCGCAGTTTAAATTAGTTTTACACGACTCACCCAATTGATCTAGCGGTGGCGGAATAAGCACTAGAAGAAGAAAGGGACGTTCTCATTGAAAGTTTCTGTTTAATATTAAGTTTTAAAAGTACTTCTGGAAAAGGACAAAACGTCTTTCAGTAAATTAATTTATCTTAGCAAATATTGGGTTTAATCCTACCAGTAATGAGGGAGTCGACTAATCATTTCTAGAGGTACAGAAATATGAAATGAACTACTTAATTCCCATTCCCTTTTTTATTAGGTCCGCAGTTATTTCTCTTTTAAGTAAATATGATTTCTTAAAAATGGCACAATGTGTGAAATGAGATTGAGACTGGACTTATTTGGAGTTCCTAGATAAATTTACTTCTTAAGTATCTTGACTGTTCAGTATTTAGCATACAATCTTTGGTCTTTAATTCCTTTATCTGACTCAAGGAAGTGGGAGAGTGATGCCTATGTTGGACTAAACCTCACTTAACTTCAAGACTGACCTTTCTTAAAGTTGGACCTTAGTTTTGTCAGGAATATAAAGATCAAGAACTCTGGAGCGTCTCAGTTTTCCGTCTGTGAAAACGTGTTCAGCTTTTCAAACTACAGCCACATCTATGCGTGGGAACCCTATGAAACTGGTTGCCTTATAGGTCAAAACTGGAATACCAGCATTCCAGATGGTTCAACCTAGTAGTTGCCCTGTGTTTCCCTATGACCATTTGTAGATGGTTTTGTGGTGGTGTGTTGCAAAAGGTAGGGTATTGTCAACCTTTTAACATTAAGAGTTTATGCTGAGAATCCTGGGAAATAGTGAGGTATTATACCCTGCACTTTTATAAATGAGAAACCGGGAGCAGAGGGAATGGCTTTGACAGTGCTCGTACTGCTGACTGCCAGCTCTGGGCCTTTTCAAATGAATTGAACAATTAGGTATAACATTCTTAGATGTGTAGTTTGGTATTTCAACACCTTGAAACCCTATGGAGGAAGTACTAGATGCCTACTTTAGTCATCAAAGCTATCTCTAAGTTCTGGTTTCAAAACCATCTTCAATCCCGAATGGAGCTCTTCTGGAGCCTTCTCATCAAATCAGTGATGGAGTCCTAGGAAGTCTTACCTCAGAATCTCTCCCACTGACTCCCACCCCCGAGGTTCTTCACCTGGCCCACACTAATTGTCCATGGATCTCCCTGCCTCAAATACCTCCCCCTTGAATGAGTCAATCCCTTAGAGGCGTCTCTTAAGCACGTACCAAGTACCAAACACTGTGCCCTGTTACTGGAGACAGAAAGATAAGACAACCTGTGTGTGGTGGTTTTAAATTATGTCTTCAAATTCTTTGATACTCCTCTCTTCAGCCATAAAAGGCATTTTGGTTTTCTCCTTTCTCTCTGTCTTGCATCACTCGCTCTGGTGGAAGCCAACTGCCATGTTGTGAGGATACTCAAGTGGCCTGATGGACAGTCCACACGGCAAGGAACCAGGGCCTCCTGCCAACAACCAGCACTAACTTGCCAGGCTTGTGAGTGAGTCGCCATGCAAGCACATCCTCTGGCCCCAGTCAAGCCTTCAGATGACACAGCCCAGGATGACCTCTTGACTGCAACCTCATGAGAGACCCTGAGCCGGAACCAGGCAAATTCCTAACCCACAACAGCTGTGAGATAACACACGTTTGCTGTTTTAAGCCACTAAATCTTGCCATTTGTTATGCAGCAAGAGGTAACTAGGAAGCCTGCTGGAGCTTACAATCTTTTAGGAGAGACAGAGGCTTCGTTACAATTTGGTATGATGATGGTGACTCTAAGAACAACTTGAAATATATACGCTGTGAGTGCAAAGGACAGGAAACTTAATTCTGTCTGGGGGAGAGGGAAGACAATATTTGGGTTGGGCTTTGTCTAGTAGGATTTTACTGACAGAAAATGCAGAAGAGGAGCAGGAGGTGGATTTTGGAAAGTTAAGATGGAACTGGATTATAATGGGTTTTGAATGTCGTGATGAAGAACTGTGACTTTCAGTGTATACGTGTATCAAATCATCATGTTATACACTCTACATATCTTACAAGTTTGTGTGTCAATTATACCTCAATAAGGCTGAAAAAACATTTTTTAAAAAGAATTGTGACTTTATTTTTCAAACAATGCCAAGGAATGGGAAGTTTTTAAGCATGACCAAATCAGTCTTTAGAGAGAGAACTATCAGGAATAGAAAAGATCATTTTGATTTAAATAGAGTGGTGTCAGGAGAACCACCAGAGAAACTATTATGACAGCCCAGTAAAGAAATGAAGCACTTCTCAAAGAATAGTGGCAATAAGAATAAAAGAGAGGTGAATTATTTCAGAGACATTTCAAGGGTTAATTAACTGGATTTGTTGAGTGCTTTCATGTAAGAGGAAAAGGAGTTGGAGGAGTCAAAACTTTAAGCTAGGATGACATAAAGGACGGTGGGGTCATTAAAAAAATGTATGGCACAACAGAGAAAGAGGAGGCATAAGAGAGGAGAAGATGGCCTCTGCGTTGAACAAACTGGATTTGAGGAGTCATGGGACATCCAAATGTACACCTCAACAGGACAGTTGGAAACTGTTGGATTGGATATAGGGAGGGAAAACCAGAATTCAGGGTGTTTGTGGTTCGTCTGCACTGGGACTGTTGAAGCCATGAGGTTAAGGAAGTGTTCGCGGAAGAGTGTGCTGAGTGAGAAAAAGCCCAAGGTCGGTGGAGTCCTAGGGAGCCCCAACACTGAGAAGGGAGGGGGAAAGGAAAGGAAAGGGGGTGGAGGAGGCCACGACACACGCCTTTCAGGGGGGAGGTTCAACCAGGCAGGATGAGAAGAGATGGAGCCCTGGGTGCTGGCATTGTGCCATTGAGAGCCCACTCTTAACTGAACGTGGAAGTGGGCTTACCAGAGTGTAGAAGATGAGAAGAGGACGGGAGAGATTTGGTAAGAAAAAGGGGAATGGATGGTGTTCTGGGGGATATAAAGAATCTAAGGAAGGATCTTTAAGTTTATTGATCTTTGAAATTGGAACATGTTTGGAGACAGGGAGGAAACACTCAGGAGAGAGACAGAGAAATCCTGAAAATCCTAGAACTGTGGGAGGTCCTTGCTGAAACTAAGGAGGAGACTACAGGGCCGTTCCCACAGCAGGAGGAAGAAGGGAAACTCAGAGGCTGGGGCAAGGACCTAAGAATGGTGATAGCTAGTTACGGCTGGAGGTGGAGGAGATAATAACCTCTCGCGCTCATGCTGCACTTCGCAGTTGGCCTGAGAGGGAGGCAAGACCATTATTACCAGCCCCTTCATGGAGCTGTCCTGAGACACGTGGATGACCCATGTAATTAGCGGGTAGCCGACCCAGGACTCAGACCAGCAGGTCAGCGCAGGGTTCCCTTTGCTGGACTATACTGTAGCCTTTCAGGCTTCCTCAAGCTTGGCTCTGACCAGGTGGTCACCATCTGTCCCCTCCTGTCCAGTCGTGGTGCTGATTATTCTGCTACACCAACTCTTAACGAAATTGGCCTAGCCCCTCTTTCCAGAACAGACTCTGTAGTTTTGGATCTCTGTGTCTGTGTTCCACTCGCAAGGCCCTTGTTCCATGACCCTTTGCCTAAAAGGTAACCATCCTTCAAGATCAAGAGTGTGTACCTCTTCCTTCACAAAGCTGTCTTCAGGACACTAGGCTGGTAATGTGCACACCTCTCAGGTAGCAGCAGGTGCTCCTGCAATCAGTGTGTTTTGTGTTTTCCTGTGAGTTTTACTCCGCTTTGGATGGTGTATCCGTTCAGGGCAGGAATCTAGCATTCATCCTCATGTTCTAACAGCACCAAGAGCAAGAGTCCCACATGCTGTGTTCTCATCAAGTGTTGGTTGAATGAATGATTGAATGAAAGATGCAGTTGCCATGGGCAGTATAAATGTGACCACTCTCCCCAACAAGTGGAAAATGTGTTTTCTCACATAACGAGAAGTCCTGAGTTAGTTCATTCCCAGGCGTAAGTGACCCATCGAAGACTGGAGTCTCATTATCCTACCACTTTGCCACTCTGTTTTTATTTTGTCTCAGGCTTATCCCTCATGCTTACAGAGTGGCTGCAACAGCTCCAGGCATTCTGTCCTTCATACAACAAGACCCAAAATTCAGACAAGAAGGGGAAGGACATTTTGAAGAGTGAAGAAAACTTTTTCAGAAATCCTGGCCTTCTCCTATGCCTCCCTGGCCAGAATTGCATCGCATGCCCATTCATAAAGCAGTCATTGGCAAGGTGAGTGGAACTCACATGATTGGATTAACTTCACCACGAAGCCATCCTCAGATGGGCTGAGGAGAGTTCCAGCCTCCTTTGAAGATCCTGGCTACC